GTGACAAGATTGATAGAATCTGGACCAATAGTGGATGAGCAGCCAAACTACTTTCCTCCGCCCTGCACCACGCTACAGAGCAGCTAAATTGAGTTTGCTATCGTCTGTACAGTATTATATATAAATTAGGTACTGTACATATAATTATATATTAACTTAATTTATTGTAACTTTATTATAATTATATATATATTTTCCGCCTATCTTCTGTACAGTTCTTCCGTTCTGTACTGTGCTTCCGAACTATCGTCTGTACAGTATGTAAATTAGGTACCGTAAGTCTAATACAGTACTGTAATTTTATACATTTTGTGTGAAAGAAACATTCCTTATTCAACGGCCATAAAAATTATTTATATTAATGATGTCTCCAAAGTTCGACGAGGTTTTTGCAGAAAAATAACATCAGAAATCGCGGCCGCGGTTTGCTGCGCTGTTCCGCGACGAAAACAAGCTTGAGCAACGGCGATGTCGAACGGTGCACACTCGGTAAGTAATCCTACATTCTTTTGTTTATAGCGTAGTTTATTCGGATTATTTCCAAAAAATATACGTATTTTGGAAATGTTGAGTCGGATTAGTCTAGAATCGATTAATTTTATGGAAGAAAACTTTTCGAACAGCCATAGTCCGTAAAGTGCATACGTGTCTGGCTGTGATTGGCAAGGACTCGTAAGAAATCGATTCATAAACGACGGAACGTATCTACCGTCTTATAGGGGGGTCGACTGTATATAACATACCATAATGATAAGTTCTTTTTTAATCTATATATAGTAGACCCCCTATAAGACGGGTTCCTATAATTACGATTCCTATAAGACGGCGAAAAAATTGCCACGGTATCAGTAAAAAAAGGTAAAAAAAACTTCTATAATTACGTAAAACGTCATCGGGCAGCCTAACTATTTTCCGCCGTCAAGCGCCACGCTAGAGACTACTATCATCTGTACAGTATTATATATAAATTAGGTACTGTACATATAATTATATATTAACTTAATTTATTGTAACTTTATTATAATTATATATATATTTTCCGCCTATCTTCTGTACAGTTCTTCCGTTCTGTACTGTGCTTCCGAACTATCGTCTGTACAGTATGTAAATTAGGTACCGTAAGTCTAATACAGTACTGTAATTTTATACATTTCNATAAAAAAAAACTAAATACGAAAACTTTATCTTTCTTATTTCACTTTTCGATACGATATTCGGTTATACATCAATTTTCTTTTTATTATATTCTGAAGGAAATTTTGCATAATTTGGCGGCCCCCGGCAAACTTCTTACGGACTGTTAAGAAACACTGTTATAGACGACAAACAACCCGAATCAGTATACCTTTGTCTGCCTTTACGTGTATATCCGCCAATGTGTTGTTTTGCCAATGGCTAGTTAAATCGGCACATATTTACTTAACGACGTCAAAAACTTTTGATTTTTTTCCCTCCGGATGATCAATATTTGTTTAAACAAAAAACGGGTCCATGCCGTATTCTCATACAGATCGATAGATAAGTGTTTAACATTTATACAGAATTACATGGAAAAAATCAGTAATTTATTACCATATCCTTGGCCATAATTAATCGATATTTTTCTATATTCGAGTATCTACGGTAAATGCTATGGTAAATAAACCTGTTATATCCAATTTTTCAAAGATTTTCTTGCGGGTTGCTAATTTAAGCGCTCTCGCGGAACCCATTTTTATTCGAGTTTACGCTAAAATTATTAAGTATATCGATGAATATTGAGTAAATGAAGATTAATTGATAAAAGTTTCTTCATTATTTTCAGCGTAAATGGAGACGGATTCAGCCCTTTAGATATAGCTGTGATGACCAACAACGTGCCCATGATTAAGTTATTACAATGGTACGGCGGAAGGGAGAGTTTACAATGTGAGTAGCTTAAATTTTTAATAACGTTTACAATATTCCGAGCGCTAACTCGTCATATTTTTCTTTCTCTAAATAATCTTTACAGTAAATTTAGGAACCAAAGTTACGGTTCATTCATTACATTTAACATTCGAGTCGGTCTGTTCAATAAACTGAAAATAGTTTCGCTACAATAATTTTCTCGTACGCCACCGTGTTCCACTCTGTTTATTACATTAACTAGCCTTTGTCCGTGCATTTTAGATAAAAAATGATAACAAATTCCCTCTTCGCCGTTCTTATATACCGGCGCTTTCATCAATTTTTAGAATGAAATAAAGCCAAGTTCGTTGGATTCTAAGAAAGAAAATGATTTAAACAGTTGGAAAAGGCGCTTATTTTTCCAATATTTCGTAGGCCAAACGAATGTTTTGCGTGTCATTTCCCTTATCTTTCGTCATTAATTGTCGTTATCAGTTTTTAGACGAAGAGTTTTTTGAAAAGAATGATTTAAAAACTTGTTTTTTAGATGCCACAAAGGACAGTCGATCGCATCAACTCAATGGTCTAGTAAAGGAAGCGGGACGATGCGTAGAGGATTTGACTACTTGCGTATTGAGTGCGGCTACCAATGGTTCCTTATCCAATGCTCTTTTGAAAGTGAGTTTTTAATTTAAACCGGGGAAGAAATTAGGTTTTTCGTTACAATTTTCTTGCAATTTCTTCCACAAAATATTTGATTTATGTGTAATATTATAATGTAATTCCCCCCCTTCTTAAGGAAAAAGAGCGCCAATTGTCTCTATGGCAACGAAGACTGCAGCTACTAAGGAGAATGAAGACGGGTTTTGAACGTCTCCGTAAGTCAATATTGTACCTCTATTTGCATATTTTGAGTTAAGCGTATAGCCTTGAACCTGCCAATATCTATATTTAGTTAAAGGGAACTGAACATACAACTGTAAGAAATCGGTGCGCTTTCTAGTCGATAGCTTACTCTTAACACACGCGCTGTAAGAGAAAACGGCGATATAAGATCACTCCCGTATTCCAAAAAAATGTATCGAATTTTTTAAGAAAATTTTCATGTCGTTTAATTATCTTAAATGTCCACCGAAATTCCTACAATTACAATATCTGAGGATTCGGAAGAAACTCGGTTAAATCCTTTAGGTTAATATACGAGACGGATCCTTAATTGGCGTTCTTTACCGGTGTAGATCCTTTAAAACGGGATTTTGAATTATTTTCAGGACCTCCAGATTGTCCGACGTTCGTAGTCTTGGAAGTGGTGGGAACAAATTCCTTAAGAGTGAGATTCGTCGAACCCGACACCGCTCATAACGCGGAATGTATCGTTACAAAGTATAAAGGTAAGTTTATTTTGCGCGTAAATTAACTGAAAATACGAGGAATTTTTTCAAAATAATTTTTTATTACGTTTAGTCGAATGGAGTTTACAGGAAGATTTCAAGAGCTTAGCCGGTTATCAAGAGGTTAACGACGTTCACAGGCTCGAAGTTATAATTACCGATCTGATTCAAGGAACTCCGTATTTTGTCAGAGTCGCCGCCGGAAACAGTAAAGGATACAGCAATCACCAGAATTCTTCTCCCGTTTCCGCTACTCCTTCCTGTAAGTGTTGTTCGTCCGTCCGCATTATCAACGTTTCTCTCCTTACTTCGGAAATTTCTTTAGTTTATATTTTACTAAGGATAAGGACGGTCAAACGTGGTCAATATTGGTATTTTATTAAGGAGAAAGATCGGGATAACTGAATACTTAGTCGCTCGGCCAAGGATAAGACGATATTCTTAACCTCGGTCGAGTGACGCTCATCTAAGGATGGTACCGGTTTGCATCCTTAGTTACGCGTTTCGTTAATCCTTATCCATAGTTAATCATCTGCCATTAATTAAGTTTAGTGTAGTTATTTCCACCTATTCTCAGTCAACAGCTAAAGAGAAGCTAAGATAAAAACGTCATTTCCATTCTTAGATAGTTGTTTTTACAAGTTTTATCGATTGTAGTTTGGGATTCTTCCTCAGGTTGGAGGGACATCGAAGGAGAATCGCCCAGAGTCGAAGGTAAAATGGGAAAATTAGACGATCTGTTTAATCAAATTGTTAATTCCGGCCCGACTTATTCTCCGGAAGTAAAAGGTAAATTATATTTTTTTAAGCGATTATTTTTCGTAAAAGTTGTTTTCTGTAATAAATTTTTACATAAAATTTTCGTAGCGCTGGCCGATTTGGCTGACACGCCGCAACAACAAAGACGACAAGTTAGAAAAAGCATCAAAAATTTATTTACTCCGGCACCGAAATTTCAGAAAAGCATGAAAAGGTTTTTAAAAATTTCATTAACTTTTAAAAAGTAATTTATTTAAAGTATTTAAAGCTTGCTTCCTCGTATAATTCGGTAACTTAATGTCCTGGATAAGCCGGTATCTTAGAAAAGTGTCATCGTTTCAGATTAAAGAATGAAATATATATATTTACTGTATTTATAATTTATTTCATTTGTTAGATGGCGTATTTCCTCATTTTTCAAATAATTTTAACGTCAATCGATGCGGTTCTATATAAGTTAGGTTGGTGAATAGTGGTTTATAATTTTCGTAATAAAAGTAATGTAATTAGACTAGTACGAGCGCGTATATTTTTAAATTTTATGACAAATATAACAGTTATTACTAGTAAATTTTTCTACGCAACCAATAGACTCGTGGTCGTAATCTAATCCCAAAAAGAATTCTTCTTAAGTTTCTCTTTAATTATGAAAAATATATCCTTATTCCGGTGTTCGTTTGACTTTGAAAATTAATCTCGAGTTCGAAGCTGGTCTATTCTTTAAAACAGCAAACTTCGAAATAAGAAAAGACAAAATGCCAGGAAATCGTACCATTAACCGGTTTTGATTTGCAATAATAATCGTCATTTTACACATTTCTATGGCTTGAAATTGTAAAAATAACTTATCAAACAAGCGCTGGAAAAGTGTTAATTTGTTTCTATATATAAATTCTTTGTATTACTTTTCAGAGGTGTTTTTCTAGCCAGTCTCTTGTATAACGAAGACAAGATTCTCGTTACTCCCGAGGAAACCTTACCCATTTTAGAAGTGGACGAAACCTATCCTTCCTCTCTACATACGGATTTCCATTGGTTAATGAAAGTAATTATGATTTTTACAATTAAATTATTTTTAAATCTATTATCTTTTTAATAAAATTTAATTGAATTTAAGGTGGCTTGCACGTGGGAAGACGTTAAAGCGTTGAGGCAGGATATGGAGAAGAGTCCTAGTTCTTCTAACGTTCATTTACGTAGTAGACTATTACAGGCTGTCGAACAGATGCAGGTACTTTGCAAATTTCGTGTACTTTAATAGTTTTAGATGAAGAAATTTATTCTTAATTTTATCGAAAGGCCGCTCTAGGGATACAAGATTTAGGTCAATTATTCTACAAGCCCTTTAAAGATACGGAAGGAACTATAGTTATATGTACCGTTAAACATATAGCCGATATTAAAAGTATGGTTCCTTTATCGGTTAGATGGTTACCTTTATCAAAAATTCAAAGAAAATTAAGTAGCAGCAGCAACGAAGCTAACGAACCACCAAATGCTAGCGAGATTCTTCTGTCCTCTTTGCAAGTGAGTCCAAACGCCAAATTATTCAAATTCGACTCCTAACCGTTGAAAATTTGTTTCATTTCTTAATCTTACTTTTAAGGAAATGATCAATTATAATCAAGCGAGTGGAGCTTGTTTAAGTCGTGGTTTATATTTTGGTTATATCAAACTGAAAAGTTCCGTCGATCTAATTAGAGTTTTGGTACCTCAGAAAGCGCCTAACGTCTTGCCTCATTGTAGAATACGTGAAAACCCACACGTTTCTTTGTAAGTAATCGACTTTTAATCTTAAAATTAGTGTAAAATTACGAAAAAACTCGAAAATAAAAAACTCGTTAATATAGGGAGGAGTGGAAATGGTTATCCATTCTTAAATCTGGTGATAAATCTGAAAGTCCCTCCGAAGTCCAATTAAAATTTCAAAGATCTTTATCGTCAGCTGCTCGAAGCTTGTTCCAACAATTGGACATCCCACCTTCGCAAATGGATACCCACAGGTAACTTTGGGAAATATATTAATAAATTTGATATAAAATCATTTTAACTGTGTTTTTATTTAGGATTTACGATATGGAAGTCATCGAATTAAGTGCCGATGTTTCTTTTATTTTGATCTTACCTCCCGTCGAAAGTGTTTGTTCAGTTGCTGGTCAAACTGACGAACTGACATCCAGAACAGATTGCATTCCTCTCCCCGTCCAAATATTTGAAATGAGTAAGTTTGATAAGTCTTAAAACTTAACAACAAAAGATTTGCCCTAAAAGATTCTTTCTTTAAACAGTTCATATGACAACCTACCAGAAGAATTTTATCTGTCGATATTCGCGCTTATCTTCCATTTTGGAAATGGCTAACATGGTGGCTCAACAGGCACACCGCGAGGTAACGTACAGAAAATAAGGCGTGAGAATTATATAAAGTTTAAAAATTGATTTTAATTACATATTTTGTACGTATTTTAGGCATTTTCTTCGGCAGAAGTAGCGTCTGCCAAATGTCGTCTTAATCAACTTCAAGAATTTCAAGGGCAAGTCGATAATATTTGGAGAGGGATGAGATGGATAATGGATGTACTCACTTTCGCTAGAGATAAGCAGGTAAATGGTGGAATTCCACTTAGTGGAGTTTTAGTATCGAAAACGGGATCGCCGTCTCCCGCTCCTTCTCCGCATCAATCACCCGTACAGATGTGTTATCAGCAAAGAGAAGACTGTAGAAACGGATCGGACAAGAATTATTTAAGAATCACCACGTCATCCAGCTACACTCTTCTCGATTCGAACAGAGAAGGAGACAACCATCTGGAAATTCGACGTTGCGCATCGACTTCTAAGCTTCAGGTGTCCGTTCATAGAGAGGAAGACGAGGACATCAGCGAGTCTACCGTGTCGGTTAACGAAAAAGGTTTGGGTATCAAAGAATTGAGCGACTGCTTCGACGTCGAGGAAAACGGGATCAAAATTCCTTGTCCGCAGTTGAACGAATGTGCCAAAGATAGAGATCAAACCGAAATTGGAATGTCCTCCAACAGTGTTCACAGCAGTCTGACCGGAAGCAACAAATCGCTCTTGTCCGATTTACCCATCGAAGACGATACATCCGAAAACGGGAGTGTATATTCTAAAGATAGTGCGTGCAGTGTGGGAGATATCGGAAAATCACCCGACGATTGCGAGGTATCCGAAGTGGTTAAGCGACCGTCTTCGTCGAATTCTTCGGGTTCGAATCCCGGTGATGCTTCGTCCGGAATTTTAAGGGTGTACGCCGCGTACGAAACCGGACTTCCTAGTGGAACCAGCGTAAAACTCCACGTCACCCCTCAAACAACTGCCAGAGAAGTTGTAGACTTAGTTGTAAAACAACTCAACATGGCAGTCATACTTAAAGGTAGAGGAGGACCAATTTACGGTAGTAATCAAATCCAGAACTTTTGTCTAGTAGCCGTGGTGGGCAGTAGAGAAAAATGTCTGGGCGACGATTTTCAACCACTTAAATTATCAAATCCGTGGACTAAAGGCAAATTATTCGTTCGAATGAATAACGTGTTGGAAGAATCGGATAAATGAACGTTTTGTACATATTGAAATTGGTGCTGATGTACATAAGCGGGCGTATCGAAAAAATGCAGCTAACCCGTCTTCTAGGAGTACGTCTCTACTTAGTCCGTTATAGTAAAAGCAGTTTTTAAAAGACCCAAATTTTAGAAGAAAAAAATATGTTGCTTGTGCCTTTCTTCGCTTGCTGTTTGTATTTGTAAATAGTAATGTGTTTAACGCGTGAAAGTAAGGCAAAGAATGCGCGTGGAGAAAAGAAGTTGGTATCAATTGGAATATTAAAATTTTCCATACGCGCAAAAATCTATATTCTAAAATATTGATATAATTAACAAAAACAAGGCAACATCTACAATATAAATATAAATATATATATTTATACAGAATCGTAAAACAGAAAAATTTCATCTTCGGGAGTAACGACTATTTTGTAAGCGATATGAAAATTAATATTTTCATAATTCATTTCCAAACGAAAATTGTGTGGAGCTGGAAATCAAAAAAGCCGAAAAATTAAAGCAAAATAATAATAATATTAATAATAATTAATTTTTTCGCGCGGAAAGGTTGTGGTAAATATTCTAAGTTATATAAATGAAGTTAGATTTTATAGAATGTGTGTGTTTCACCATGACTTTCTCATCTTCGTGGCTATGTTTTCTCATTGTTTACGGGAACAGAATCTACCTACGTTCAAGTAGGTTCGAATGACCAAGTTGGATATAGTTTTGTTCCTAAAAATTTACGGATATTCTTTTGTTAATATTCGAAACGAGTATGATTTGTATATATTTGTGATCCGTTGTAGACCAGACGATTAGTGTCATTAACACGTTATTGATTTGCCATAAAAAGAAAATCAATCGTTCAAAAAGTGTATTGGTGTTGGCTTCTTCTTCGCTTACTTGTGACCTAACAAATATTTTCTTTTTTCATTTTTCCTAAATAAAAACAAAGTAAAACTTTACATGAATTCGATTAAAGCGGTTTTGTCCAAGAGCAATCGCACTCCGCTTTTGTTCTTTGTTACTGAAAATTCGGTTGGCCAGCGACGAAGGGTTCAAAAATGAATAAAGGAGCGTAAATCGTAGATAATTCTTGTTTGTATCGTGTTTTTTAAGTGGCCCAAAATAATGAAAAATTCTCGAAATTACTTTAAAATGGCCGTTTTTTTCTTTCAAATGTTATCAGTTGTCGCAATTTTATCGATTTATATATTATATGATTTATATGACTCGAGGAAACGTAATACGAGAAAAATAGTAATCGACATTGGTGCAAACGGGTAAATATCAAAGAAAACTTTAATATTTAATTTAACAAATAAATAAAAATCAAATTAAGCAATAAAAAGTAGGAAAAAAACATGAAAAATCGCTTAAAATATAGAAAATAAAATCTCTCGATAACGATTTTGTGTTACTTGGTGGTGACTGTTACGTAAAAAAATCGATTTTGATATTAAACGAACTCTGTTATATAAAATTCGGTACAAAAATCGCATCATTCGTCGCTGTTTCGGCTATTAAAAATGCTTACGTTTCCTCTCGAATGCAAATATGACCCTGAGCCAAAACTTAGGGCTGCATTCCATCCAAACAAAAACTGATATGTATTCTCTATTACTATTTGGGGAGGGAAAAGGGAACCTTATATGTTATAGCTTAGGGCTACAACAAATTTATATCTAAATATCTCGATATTTATTTTTCTTTAACATTACGGTAAAAACATTACAACCCATTAAAAAAGCTTTTTACGCTAAGTTATTTGTAGATGAAGTAAACATCAGTATATTATGAAGTTCCATATTCCATAGATTTGGATTCCGTATTGATCATATCTCTTTATATGGCAGCGATATATAAAGAGAAATGTTTCTAGACATCGTATCTCTTATTAAGATTTTATAATTGTCACGAAAATATCCATAATAGTTTTTTTCTGCTCTGAAAAGCATCTGGAACTCTTGCATTTTCCTATAATATTCATCGAAACCAGTAACGATAAGAATAATTAATGAATCTCGTTGCTTAATATAAATTGCTACTCGATATCCAATCTTCGTTTACTCTCTAGGGATCGATTAACTTCTAATAATCTTCGATTCATTTACAAAAAAGCCAATACTTTTAGCATATTGCCAGCGCAACGTACTCGCTGCTTACAGAACTAATCTTAAGCCCACAGAGACCGACACCGGGTTTATGTTCGATTGTCCATTCGTGTAACCCACGTGTACATTCGTGTAATTCGTGTAACCTCACATTCGTCTAGCAACGTCTACCTCTCGACACAAAACCGAGCCAAGAACGGGACCCCCGAACAAACGTCGGTTTTCGGGCCTCGGACCCACGCCCCGCGCTTAAGACACTTACAGATTTCTAAGAATTTTTGATGTTTCGGGAATGTATCGATATGGAAAATATTTTAATTAAGTTTGTATTGATTCTTTGTCCTTTTATCGACGCCGGTACCGAGTACGACGAGATAAAAGACACCGTCAAATACGGATCGCCGCATTGCCGGTATTATAATTATTTTGGAGTCATGCTAATAAGCTTTTCCGGAGCCCCGCAATACCTAATGCTTAAGAGTAGTTAGGATTAAGCCTTCGAAACCTCCGCTACAAAGGCATTAATATAAGCCGAATGGTCTAGAAAATTTTTTCTGTCCCGGATGCGTTAAGATCCACTCGTCCCATCGCCAACTCAATGGGCATAGTAAAAGGCTCTTGGATTCCCTAAGGGACGGAAAGAGTAAAAACTACAAAAAGGGCTTTTATAGTACAGACGTGGATTTATATAAAGATAAAAGCATTGTGATTTGTATTATCCTTTCTTTTAAGATAGCTCTATCGATTGCAGTGACCGAAAATTATTTTCGGGACTGATTAAATGAGATGCATTAGTTCTCGATGGAAAGTGTTCTATACGAAAACGATTGTCTGGAACTCCCAAAATAATCGATACGTCTGTACTAATGATATATCGGACAGTATATAATTATCTGACTTACAAAAATAAAAAAAACATATGTTTTAAAAACCCGACTTTTTTTAATGTGTATATATATATGTATATATCAGTATATATATTACTGTTACAATAATATATATATAGAATATAAAATTAAGAATAATCTTTTCGTTTCTACTTTTCCCGACTGGTATAAGTATATATAACATAAGGAAAGTATAGCGATCGGACAAAAGATGACCCCCAAAATTTTTTTTACATTTTTGGACTCGGGGATTATTGTTGTTTACGGCAAGGCGACACTCGGGCGATCTGCCTAGGGGAGATGCCTTCCGGGAGGTCTTTTAAAGGGAAACTTGCCCCTATTTAGGCCTTACTGACGTGGAGAAAACCCGGAAAACTCCTCGTGTCCGGCCCGTCCGAGCCGGGCGCAAACCCGCGACCGAACTCCCAGCGTTCGGGGTACGAAGACCGCTGGGCCACCGGTGGGCCGGACTCGGGGAACCTCGGAACGTAGAGAAATGCAAAAATGTCGGGGGTTTCTGTACGTATGGATGTTAGTATAAGGGGTAGGGGCAGGCTTTTGTTCGTCTTCTTCCAAGTCGAATAACTCGTGTGCCTTTTGTCGAAAATTCCTGAAATTTTGCAGAGAGATTTGGGTATGGAAGGAATCGATACCGTTAAATTTTGGTGGTTAAAGAACAAAAAGATGGGGAGATAGAGGGGATCGCGTGTGGTATTTCCAGCCAGTCGAAATTAATGAAGATTTTTCTGGTTATTAGCATTTGTAATTATTTATAAAACTCGTCTCTACTCTCAAAATTAATCTTTTAGCCATTTTATAATAATTAATAATATAAAAAGTTTTTTAAATAATATCTCGTAATAGATGGCGCGACAAACAAATTTAACTTTGTGTCCCATTCCACGTAGTTTCGGTCGACTGCCCGGACACTTACGTAACGATTTGTAATTAACAAAAAAACTTTAAAATGCGTTTAAACCGTTTTTTTGCTTTAACGAATAGCGTTTCAGTTCCGTGTTTCTCGGCGTACGGAGAAAAATTTTGTTACACCGTATAGAGAGGTTTAAGTCCACGTCACGAGCACGCGCAATTGTCCGGCGCCATCTTTGCGATTTGTTTACGTTTTATTTGTGTTTACGCGCGCCTTAGCCGGAGTTCTCGTATCGTTTATTCGTGACGAATGCCACTACGGCGAGTGGTCGAGTACTCGAGTGTAACGCTAGTTCACTCGCCGACAAAGGTACGTCAGTGTTTAAAATTCCCGGCATAATTTATCATTAAGGACTCCGAACCGAGGAGCTTTGGCCGCGAAGGTAATTTGCGTGGCTCTGGAGAATCGAGCAGAAAAATTTCGATACGGACGAAGCGAATATCGATAGAAGAGTTTGTCGGGTAAGCGATAACATTTGATTAGTAGTTATCGATAAACGATTACGACACTGCCGCAAATCCTTTTGTTAATACCGACAAAATAAAGTTAAATAATTTTAGTCTCGGCTTGTAATAAATATACGGTAGAGTTAATATTAAAGCGTTAAGCGAAGATAATCGCTTAGCGGACGATGAATTAAAAATAAATTTTGAACCGATTGTCCTTCCCGTCTAATTTACATAAAAGTGTGTGTTTTTAAGATATAAGTCGACGATTTCCGTTACTTGTTCCCAAATAGCTAAGTTAGGTTATTTTGGTGAGCGACATTAACTTTTCTTTAAGATAGTAACATCTTAAAGAAAAGTTAATGTCGCTCACCAAAATAATTTTACAATAATTACAATAATTATAAACTTTTTACAATAATTTTTTACATTAATAACAAATAATCATTATATAGTAAATTTCGAGTTATTCCCGAAAAAAATTCTTATGTATTATTATATAACATACCATAATGATAAGTTCTTTTTTAATCTATATATAGTAGACCCCCTATAAGACGGGTTCCTATAATTACGATTCCTATAAGACGGCGAAAAAATTGCCACGGTATCAGTAAAAAAAGGTAAAAAAAACTTCTATAATTACGTAAAACGTCATCGGGCAGCCTAACTATTTTCCGCCGTCAAGCGCCACGCTAGAGACTACTATCGTCTGTACAGTATTATATATAAATTAGGTACTGTACATATAATTATATATTAACTTAATTTATTGTAACTTTATTATAATTATATATATATTTTCCGCCTATCGTCTGTACAGTTCTTCCGTTCTGTACTGTGCTTCCGAACTATCGTCTGTACAGTATGTAAATTAGGTACCGTAAGTCTAATACAGTACTGTAATTTTATACATTTTGTGTGAAAGAAACATTCCTTATTCAACGGCCATAAAAATTATTTATATTAATGATGTCTCCAAAGTTCGACGAGGTTTTTGCAGAAAAATAACATCAGAAATCGCGGCCGCGGTTTGCTGCGCTGTTCCGCGACGAAAACAAGCTTGAGCAACGGCGATGTCGAACGGTGCACACTCGGTAAGTAATCCTACATTCTTTTGTTTATAGCGTAGTTTATTCGGATTATTTCCAAAAAATATACGTATTTTGGAAATGTTGAGTCGGATTAGTCTAGAATCGATTAATTTTATGGAAGAAAACTTTTCGAACAGCCATAGTCCGTAAAGTGCATACGTGTCCGGCTGTGATTGGCAAGGACTCGTAAGAAATCGATTCATAAACGACGGAACGTATCTACCGTCTTATAGGGGGGTCGACTGTATATAATCGAGATAGGTTGATAATAATCATCAATATATATTATAAAGGTAAGTGTACAGTGCGCGTGCCGCTAAAACCGAAAAACGAGCCCCGGTACGATCGAGGGAGTTATACGATGCAGTAGCCCTCTATCTCCATTTGTGAAGAAGGTTCCCGTTTTTACCCGAAGGGCGCGCTGTCGAAGATATAAGGGCTTGAAGTTTCGCCCTCTAGAAATTTCTAGAACAGTCCAGAACATTCGAGAGCATTCCAGAATGTTCCGGGTTGTTAAACGGTTAGGAGTTGAAATTTGGTACACGGTTAGGGTGTCACGAGAACGTGCACTAAGAAGGGATTTTTAGAAACTCCCCACGGGAGAAAGGAAGAGGATTAAGGCTTACCCCGAAGAACTCGGCTTCTATTGTACTATTTTAGATGCGGTTTTTTGCGTTTTAGTAGGCTACCACATTTAGTAGGGTACCACGGATGATGAAAGAAGTGTATTCCTTAACAATGGAAGTGTTAACAATGGAAGTGTTAAAAATGAAAGTGTTAACACTTTCATTTTTAACACTTCCATTACAGGCGCAGATGCGGTTTTTTGCGTTTTTGCGGAAAATCGAACATATTTTTAGACCCATGTAAAAATTCTCTAATTAGTCTGAAAACGGGAGACCTAATTCTTGCATTTTGTGAAAACGGGTAAAATTGGCTATATGTAATTATCTTAATCTTCGCCATCGTTACTTTTTGCCCGAGCAACGCCGGGCTCATCCGCTAGTTAAACAATAAACTCGAATTTATTGCGAATAAAACCAATTGCCGAGCGAATAAACCACTGAATACTAGTAGCGTAGTTGGTCGCGGGTTCGACCCTCACCGATAGATTCGCCAAGCGGAGTTTTCCGGGTTTTCTTCACGTTTGTAACACCTAAAAAGAGCAGTTTTCCATCGAAGCTTCTCTCGGGAAGCATCTCTTCGGCAGATTACCGGTATACACGCAGC